CGCTTGAATCAAACTGTGAAATATGATGTATTAAGAACTATGTAATGTTTTGAATGACCAACAATAAAAAAAAAGAAAATCCTGAAAAATATACAAAAAAAAAATAAGGAGGAAAGAAGGGAAGGACAGAGGAAGAGAACAACAAAGGGAAAGAGAAAAGGAAAGAAAGAAACCTACTACAACTAGTAACCGAATTTATTAAGGTCTCAGGACACATGATCAATGTATAAATAGAAATTGTATCTCCATGTATTAGCAACAAACAACTGAAAGATGAAATTAAAAAGTAATGCCATTTATAAGTATATCAAAATTAAAATATATAGAAAACAAATATATACAAAATATATATGAATAAATTTAACAAGTGATGTATAAGACTGCTACATTGAAAAGTACAAAACATTGCTGGAGAAAGAAGATCTAAATAGATGGTTCATATCATGCTTATAGATTGTAGATATTGTTAAGATATCCCTTCTCATCCAATTGATATATAGATTTAACACAGTCCCTTCCAAAATCCCAGGAGGCATTTTTGTAGAAACTGACCTCCCCCCAACCCTCCGCAAAAAAAAAAGGCAGTTTTTGATACTGGTATAAGGATGGACAAATATACAAATCCAACAGGGTTGGACAGACATAGACATACCTGTTGATGTACCACAAGAAACAAATGTTAATTTCTATGCTAAAGCTAACAAGAAATTGATTAGAAAGGTCTATTATATATAATAATCTCATGCTATTTTTTTCTGCAATGAAAAATGATCACAGTGTGTAATAAAGAAATTATGTTTTCTGCTGGATGTAGTGGTGCATGCCTATAATCCCAGATATTCGGGAGGCTGAGACAGGAGGATTACAAGTTCAAGGCCATTCTCACCAATTTAGCAAGACCCTTTCTCAAAATAAAAGTTAAGTCTACATCATGTTCAGCCAAGGAAGGAGAAGTTATGTTCCATTTGTGCACAATGTGTCAAAATGCATTTTATTGTCATGTATAACTCATTAGAACAAATTAAAAAATAAAATTAAAAAAAATGCAGGTACCCCTGTACATATACAATTATATAACCAGTGTGATTCTATATCATTTACAACCAGAATAATGAGAAGTTATACTCCATTTATGTATAATATGTCAAAATACATCCTATGGTCATGTATATTAATTAGAACAAATAAAAAAAATTATTGATGATGCCAAAATAGGATGATCAAACCTCTAGCAAATAAGCATAAATTGTAATAAATGAAACCCATTATAATAAATAAAAAGGATAAATTATAATAAATGAAAGTGAAAATGATTGATTTAAAAATAAATAAAATAAAGGAATGGAGAGGAAAATCACTGGCAGAGCACTTGCCCAGCATGTGCAAGACCCTGGGTTTTATCCCCAGTCCCGCAAAAATGAAATGAAATAAAAATTTCAAAAAAAAAACATAATAAAATTATGTTTTCCTTTATTTCCGTGTTGATTCAGTAAATACAGAATCAGGTAGAATCCTGGTAAAACATCAAGTAGGACAATTGTATTAACTTTTCTTGAAGAGTAGAAAAATCCAGAATTTTGGTAGCGCCAAGGTTCAAATATATCCCTCAAAAGTTCATATGTTGAAGGGTTGGGAATGTAGCTCTTGGTATAGTGCTTTTCTAGTGTGTTCAACATCCCATGTTCAGTCCCCAGCACCACACACACACACACACACACACACACACACACACACACACAGACACACTCAGTTCAGATATTGGAAACTCAATCCCCAAATTTATATGTTCAGAGATTTGGAAATTGGAGCCTTTAAAGGAAATTAGGATTAGATGAGGTCATACTAGTGGGTCCCCTATGATGACATTAATGACTTTATAAGAAAAGTAAGAGTGACTAAACTAGCATATTTGCCCTGTCTCACCATGTAATGACCTCTGCCATGTTTATAATACAGTAAGAAGGCCCTCCCTCATCGGCTGTCTTACAGATGCCAGCACCATGCTCTTAGGCTTCTTAGGGGCCAACCCCCCCACCCCCGTTTTTTAATAAACTATCCAATCTGTGTTGTTTGGTTACAGCAATAGAAAAGTCAGATAGTATACCATCTCTGGGTTGTGCACAGTTTATTTTATGAAATAGAAAAAGTCCTTACCACATAAAAGTACTATTACATGGAACTAGGAAACTGGAAGAGTGTAGCCAATTATTTAAAATGATAAAAGAATTAACATCTCAAAGTCATATTATCTTTAGATATTTTATAAGTATTATATTTTTATTGCTGACCAATAGAAGACATATTTCATCATGTAATGGTAATGATTAGCTTTTAAAATAATGGGAATCTGAGGCAGGAGGAACACAAGTTCAAGATCAACCTTAGCAATTCAATGAGGCCCTACGCAATTTAGTGAGAACTTGTCTCAAAATAAAAAAATAAAAAGGGCTAGAGCTCAATTGTAATACTAAAAATAAAATAAAACAATGGATTAGCTATTTCATTAAGAATTTGTTTTCAGGAAACTGGAGAGTTCTAGGAGATAATTGACTTTTGAAGTTCTGTGACTCAGTATAAGTATAATGTGTGTCATGTAACAGGGAATGTTACCCACTCAGTAATCATGGCAAGTAAAAAACAGACAGAGAGGAGATGACTTTATAATTCCAAATCAAAGCATCACAACAACAGAGTTCTTAGAAGAAAGAAGAAAACAGTGAATATTTCCCTAACATAACAAAAACAATTGGATGAGGCTAATGCAGATGGATGGATGGCTCTCTTAGCAACAGCTCAAGGTACATTTCTATTGTATATAACATTAAAAAGGGAAGTTGTCAGTTTGTATTTTTACCATTATTTAAAAGACACTACCAGAAAAAAAATCTGTTCCTCTTCGAATTCTTCCCCTCACAATGGCCATCTCCACCCTAAAATTAGAAACCAAGCTAGTAAGAATCAAAGATAAGAATGTAAATATATGCTGCTAAAACCTTGACTGTGTTAACGTTATATTATATGTAAAGAACTAAATTATAAATACGCTGGTCAGGCCAAAAGAATTGCTTCCTTGCTTTATCCAGTTTCCATCTTTTTAAACAATTTCTCAGTCTGTTTAAATGCTGTTTCAGAGCGTACAGTGTGGAACCAAACCCATGTTTCATGTTTATCAAGTATACTTGTTTGCCCACAAATGTTTGGTGCTCTCAGACATTGGGATCTCACTTTATGACGTATTTAGAAACTCCCTTCTGTAATTATAAAACTCTGAGCCAAAGCTGAGATTGACCACTAATCAAACATGCCTGAAATAACAGATGTTCAAATAAAATTATTTGATTTAATGTAAACTGCAATTTTATTAGAATATACAGTTGAGGCAATTTTTTATAAATTAATATTCAAGTTAAGACAACAAGTAATTCAAATTTTATAAATTTCAAATTTAGGTGAATATACACATAATTATACAAGATTTTTGATTAATCTGTATGATCCTCTGGTCAACACTTTTGTGTATGTAACATTAATAAAAAGCATTCTTGGGCTGGGGATGTGGCTCAAGTGGTAGCATGCTCACCTGGCATGCGTGCGGCCCGGGTTCAATCCTCAGCACCACATACAAACAAAGATGTTGTGTTCGCCGAAAACTAAAAAATAAATATTAAAAAAAAATTCTCTCTCTCTCTCTCTCTCTTTAAAAAAAAAGCATTCTCTTTAAACCATATTATAATTCTGATATTCCCTGAATTTTCAGCTGCTGCATTTTCTACTCTACATCTGGCAGGTTCTTCTTCCTTTCAGTCTGTGCATTTCCTGTATTCTAAAAGTAAATAGAAACAGGACCTTAACTGAGGAAACAGTGAGTCTTTGGCTAAGGAAATGCAAGCAGAGATAGAATACTGTATTTTGCATCTGGGGTTTGTTTCTAACAAAGTATTCCTCATTATCACCATCAAAGAGAACTAAAGGTGGCCTTTGTATGGACTCATCCGTCTTGCCCAAGTTACTCATTCACAGTAATTTAGGGTTTCTCCCTAGTTGTAGAGCCTCTTCAAGGGATGCATGCCTATTTCAATATGCCAGAAACAATTTAATGTACATTTAGGAAATACTTTGATCCGATTTGCTATTCCTGTTTTTATGGGTTTTGTTTTGTATATTGTTGTTGTTTATTTGGCCTTGCTGAGGATCTAATCCAGGCCCTAGTGCATGCTAGGCAAGTGCTACACTCCCAGCCTCCTAGCTTATGTTGTTAAAAATGTATCATATCATATTCTCTTGTACTCTCTAAAACTACAGACTCAAAATATCTTTTTTTTTTTTTTTTAAATGGAACACTTCATGAATTTGCTGTCATCCTTGTGCAGGGGCCATGCCAATCTTCACTGTACAGTTCCAATTATATAGTATATGTGCTGCCGAAGCAAATGAAGAAATTTTTTTTTTTTTTTTTTTTTTTGGTACTGAGGATTGAACCCAGGGGCACTCAACCACTGAGCCACATACCCAGACCTATTTTTTTTTTTTTCTTTAGAGACAGGGTCTCACTGAGTTGCTTAGCACTTTGTGGTTGCTAAGGCTGGCTCTGAACTCAAGATCCTCCTATGTCAGCCTCCCCAGTCGCTGAGATTACAGGTGTGTGTCACTGTGCCCGGGCTAGAAATTTTCTTAATTTGTATATTAATTTATTAAAAGTGTTTGAACTAGCCTTATGATATACCTAGCCTAGTTCTCTCTTCAGATCAGAAGCCAGCTTGCCACAAGTTATGAAGGATTCATTTCTGTTTTCTGTAAAAATATTAGGATATCTGTATAGCCTGGCCATTAGTTGATGTTGTAAAGCTGATTGGAATGCCTGCCCATGCCCTGAACTCACCCATGCCAGGTTTTTCCTGACCAGATAACAACCCTTTCCTAAACCTTAGTGATGCCTCAAAAATTCTGGTCTTCCCTGGCCAGATAACGACCCTCTCTGAGTCTCTAAGACCTCCATAAATTCTGATGTTGGGGCCAGCAAAAATGTAAACTATGTTATGCTCCTCAGAGTTTTGTTATCTGTAACCCCCCCTTTGTGTAACTTTTTGGGCTATAAAACTGGGCTGCAAGGAAGCTTCTCGGCTGTCCTTGGCTCCCATGATTTTGATGGGAAAGGAAGCCCAGCCGGTCGAAATAATAAGCTTGCTTTAATTTGATTTTAATTGGAGTCAGTGGTCTTTTCTTGCATCGTGGTCCAACACCTTATATGCCATTTCAGTCACCTGTCAGAACTACTTTTGAATAGACAGTACAAATAAACTATAAACAATTGACTTCTGGTTATTTCTAATAATAATTTGCTTTAAGGTCACTCTTTTTAGAAGATCATTTTAGCTGGGTGTGGTGGAGCACACCCATCTGTGATCCCAGTGACTCAGAATTGTAATCCTCCTGCCTCAGTCTCCTCAGTAGATGGAATTACAGAAGCGTGCCAACACATCCAGAAAAATGGAATTTTAATAGTAAGTACCAAGATAAAGATAAAAAATCTAAATAGGCTCCTTTCCTAAAGTGGGGTGGGAAGCAATGTCAAGGTTGGGAAATGAGTAGCTCAGTGGTCTAGCCTTCGTCTGGTATGTATAAGGCCCTGGGTTTGATCGTCAGCACCACAAAACAATGACATGATTTTCTGGAGAACAAAATAGCATAATATGTTTTCAAGAGAATAAGTAGCCAGGCGCTGTGGCCCACCCCTGTTATCCCAGTGGCTGGTTTGGCTGAGACAGGAGGATCACGAGTTCAAAGCTAGCCTCAGCAATTTAGTGAGATGCTAAGCAATTCAGTGAGACCCTGTATCCAAATAAATAAAAACACAAAATAGGACTGGGATGTGGCTCAGGGGTGGAGTGCCCCTGAGTTTAATCCCTGGTACCTCACTCCCAAAAAAGTCATCTTTTTAGGAGCTCTACATCATGTGAGGAAGAAAGGGCTTTCCTTTCAGTTTCCTGTTTATTTACTCTCCTAAAATTGACAGAACTGCCTTAAGAATTTCTTTTGTTCTAGCATTAGAATGGTTTTGTTCCTGGGGCCTTTCATGGAACAGTAAGATAAAAATCTGTAATGCTAGTCTACACAAGTTCAAGAGCTCTAATTCACCCAATCATTCAAAATACGTGTAAATGGTGTGCTGTGCAACAAGCTGTAACATTAGTAAGTCACCAAAAGTATAAGTTTAAAGCCACCTTGTTACTTTTATAATGAACAAGCAGATGACCATTAGTGGCTTTCTTGTTTTATTATCTCTTTTCTGCAAAGTGGATTGTGGAATTCTTAACAAGTTCGAGATCAAGACTAAGGCATAGCCCTAATTGCCACAGGGAGCATACATCTAATAGTATCTAATAATATTGTTCTCCAAATTATGAGTAGCTTTAGTTAAAATGCCTTCTTACAGTTTCAGATAAAATTTTCTGTATTTTTAATTTCTTCAAATTTCCTTAGTAAGTATGTAAAATCTTATCATAAATAAATGTAGCCAATTTTTTTTAAAAAATAGAGATAATAAAGTTGATAAATCATTTACAGATTTGACCTCAAAAGGGCAGCTAGGAGGCCACCTACATTATTTAACTCACTGGGATCTCAGCACAGGCTGTTTTTCTTAAAAGAGTGCCTTTAAAGGATATTCATTTGGAGTTGAAAACTTCAGAATTTCCAAATAAAATTCAAAAATCTTTCTGGTGAATAGGGGTAGGGGATATTTTAAGAAATTACCTGATAGCTAGCTGAGAGCAAATATTTGTGAAAATAGGACATGTGGGTAAATAGCAGAGATGGGGAATAAATTGGAGAGAAAACAAAAAGAAGCTAAATCGAATATATATGCTGGTGGCCCATGTAACCAGAAGTTTATATCTGAACTGTCATTTTCATTGGTATGGATTAATTGCTTGATGTTTGACAACACACATAACACAGCTGCTATTTTCCCTAAGTACTATGTATTCTTGTCATTCAAAATTTAAATGAGAGCTGATATGCCAGGCATATTTTTTAAAAGTAGAATAGAATACCATTAATACTCCCATATTAATACCATTAATACTGGGGAGGCTGATATGGGAAGATTACTTGAGCCCAAGGGTTCCAGACTAGCCTGGGCAATATAGCAAGGCTCCATCTCAAAAACAAACCAAACATAAAAAATGAGGGCTGTTAATTAATACTCCCCAAAATAAATTTTAGAAACATTTATGACTGGTTATTCTAGAAAGATATAGTTCTCTTTCCAGAGTTTGAAGATTACAGAATTCTGAATTTTTATATAGCTTTCCATTAGTAACAACTGAATTTATAAAGAATCAAGGACTTTAAATAACATTGCTTAGTAAAAGTTATAAGCAAAAAAGTTTTACCTCTTGTTTTTCTTGGTTTTGACCCATATTAAATAAAGCTGGTATTTTAGATGAATCTGTTTTCCTTGACTCCCTTTTCAGCACTTTTATCTGTTTAACTTTTGCAAAAATATATAAAACAATGAAAATTCGTTATTCCTACTTGGAAATTTTACTCTCCTTTTCAAGAATTTCAAATGGAAATTCTGAAGTCCACTACAGTTGGTTTCTTAGTTTATTACAAAGGAAATAAATGAATCATGAGTTACAATAATAAAATACGATAAACTGTTTTATAATTCAGAGTCTAGTATTAAAGGAATATATTTTTATCCTAAGTATTACTAAGCAGGTCAGGTAATTCCTCATAAGTGTATAAGTACTACAGTCTTGCTATTATATCATATTTTCACAAGGTGTCACTATTCTTCAAAAAACATAACTTGGCAAAAAAAGTTTCATTTTAAAATAAATCTTAAATTTATAAATCAATCTATGAAATCCTTGGGTGCCTAAAGCACATATAACATTCCTGGTCAAATAATTATAGAAAGGTGATTTATTCCAGGTCATTTACTGAACCAAAACCACCTTCTTTGCATGCTGTCCTAACATTTCAACATTGAATGAATTAAAAATTTACCTTTTTAAGCTGTCTTAACACCTCTGTAACCCATTGTGTCCCATTGTACTATACAGAATTGAAAACTTGGGATGTAATGGGTTTTTAAATTATCTCATTTGTATCATCCTTTATTTGAAATCTCAACAATGGAAAATGTTTTTCTCAATAATTTACTATTTTCAAATCATACTATAACCTGTATTACAAAAAAAAAAAAAGTCCTGTACATGTTATCATACGAAGATTTATGCAGCTAAGCAGCAAATGTGTACCTTCCATTCCTTTCATCTCCTTTGACTGTATTGTGAAAGGCAATTCAGGGAAATGGAATTCTTTCCTGTCAGATCTGGAAAAATTCAGCTTCCGTTTGTTCCCACTTGCCATTTGGTGGTTTGGACCTATTCGCTCATTAAATACATGCTTCTCCATTTGGCTCTAAACAAACAAATGAGAGCTAGTTTAAAGAAATGTGTGTAACTATTGTAGAATGACAAGCCTAGAATTGCTTAACCATTTGGATGATGCAAAATATAACAACAATTATTTAAAATTAAGAAGTAGAATAGAATACCATTAAACATATAAACAGATCAAACTCCAATGTAAGTTTCAAAAAACAAACTTTTAGTATATTTATTATTCTGAAAATAACAGTCTTGCTCCAGAGAACCAGAATCTTAACTTTTAAGTTCTAGTACCATCTATTGCATTCTTTGGAAAAATTGCTTCAGTTCACTTTCCTATTTTTTAAAATTACACACTTTGTGAACACTGGGAAAACTCAAAGAAAAAAAAACTATTTATGAATGGCATTTGGAAAACATTTGTCTACCTATTTTTGATCATTTGGTAAAAGATCAAAAAACTTTGTTAAGGCAGTGTATCCCACTCCACAAATGTACAGAAATGTACTTAAAACACCTACTCTTAGATAGGTTTGTGTTGACATCATTTTCATTATTAAACTGAGCCCGTGCTTCAATTGTGAATAAACCACATTCCTATGTAAAAATTGGTGAGGGTGAATGAACTACACAGATTATTTTTTTCTAGTGAAAGTAAGTAGTATATATTTGGAAGTTGTTTTTAATCCAGAATAAAATATTTAAAATATTTTTGTGACTTTTAAAGGTAGAAATTTTAATTTATTCTAAGTCTCACGTTAAATACAAAACTTAAAATAAAGGAAATTAACTAAAATTGTAAAAACAATAAGGAAATAATGGCCTATTATCAACTCAAGAACATGAAATCTGGAGATGTAGCTCAGTGGTACATTGCATGTTTACCATGTACAAGGTTCTGGGTTTAACCCCCAGTATCATTAAAAAAATAAGTAAATGAAATAAACTAAAAGCATATTTTTTAAAATGTTGGAATCCCAAAAACTGAGAAAAGGAAAAGGGGGCTAATGTTAAAAGAGGCCACATTTTAATGACTAGCTTCTTGTCTTACTTGAGTGGGACCTGTGTCCTCTTGCCTGCTATTAGACATAACTTGTCCAACATATTGTGAAGAAGTGCGTCTCTTTTTTGCTCTTTCAATTAACCTATTATTTAAAAATAAATGAGAAGTTATTAGAACTCCCCAGAAGTACCTCTGTTTTAGTTTCAAGATGCGTAAGTTACACCATGGATGTCTACTGTTAGAACACTGAGCACCAAAAAGTGATTGGCTGTCTTTAAGTACCAAGAGCTCTAAAGAGAGAAGTGGTAATGAGGAAAACTAATGCATGGCTAACATGTGGTAATGAATATGTCATGGAGTTACTACTGCTGGCCTACTTGATCTCTTCTGACTGTCCTGAACTTGGATCTCATATGAGCTTACTGTCTAAGACTGGCTTATAATCACAATTATGACACCATGGTTTTGGGATCAAGAACAATTGGGCTATTACAGTGTATAACCTACTGCACCTTTGGATGGACATGTTTACTTGTTCATCTCTGCAGACCACTAATCCTTACAATCTGCCAGTCCAAAAAAATCTGCTAGAATCTGCTTGGATTGCTAGGTATGGTGACGCATGCCTGTAATTCCAGTAACTTGGGAGGCTGGGGCAGGAAGATGGAAAGTTTGAGGCCAATCTCAGCAACTTAGTGAGACTCTCAGCAACTTAGCAAGACCCTGTTTTAAAATAGGGACTAGGCAAGTAACTCAGTGGTAAAACACCCAAGTTCAATCCCCAGGTAGGCCCCCTCAAAAAAAAAAAAAAAACACTAAAAGAATCTGCTTGAACTAATGAATGAAGCTTGTCTCCTTCCTTACATACAATCACAATAGATGAATTTATAAATAATCCTAATGATTTGCTAGACAGTCTCTCACCATTCAATACACTGTCCACAATTAATCAGACTCAAGATACCAGTCTCTCATCAGAGGTTAAATCTAAAACTGGCCCAATATGCTGTTTTCCTGCCAAAAGATTTGACCTTAAAATGCCATTTGACTAACAAAGATTATTTCTTATTATCCTTTCTATATTTAGAGAATTTGTTATGATATAGAATAAAGCTTACTTTGTTGTATCACCTGCTATGGTTCAGATATGGTTTGTCCCCCAAAGTCCATGTGCTGGAAGCTTGGTCCCAATGTGATGGTGCTGAGAGATGTTGAAACCTTTAAGAGGGGAGGCCTAGGAGGATCCAAGATGGTGAACTAGAAGCTTCATTCCTCGTGGCTCCGTAACTCAGAAAGCAGTTATGAAGAGAGGAACTGTTTCTCTGCAAAGTAGCCATCATTGCCCACTGATACCCTGCTGTTTACCTCCCTTCTGCTATCTACCAGCATATCGCCTGCCTTTCGAGCACAGACTGCTTGTTTACTGCTGCCTATCATCCGCCATTTGGCCATTTGCCTGCCTCTTGCCTGCCCATTGTCCACCAGCCAACCTCTAGGATTGCTGGTGTTATCTTAAAGACTACCCACAGACTGCCTGCTGCCCCCTGGAAGCTCATTACAGTACCTGCAGATGAGGTATTGGAAGCCTTCAAGGACACTATAAGACTATAGGGTAGAAACTATACTGCCTCAGATCCATACTGCTAGATGGGAAGACACACAAAAAAACATGAAAAAACAAGGGAACAAAGTGCCTCAAATAAACAAAGATTTTCCAGCAATAGAAGCCATAGATAACACAGTAGAAGAAATGCCAGAGAAGCAATTTAGAAGGTACATAGTTAGGCTGATCTTTAAAATAAAGAATGGTATCAGAGGGAAAATATAGGAAGTGAAAGATCACTTCAATAAAGAGAGATTATAAAAAGGAATCAAGCAGAAATCCTCAAAATGAAGTAAACAATAAACCAAATTAAAATTTCAATGGAAAGTATCATCAACAGACTAGACCATTTGGAAGTCAGAGCCTTAGGCAATGAAGACAAAATACATACTCTTGAAAATAAAGTCAACGGCACAGAGAAGATGGTAAGAAACCATGAAAAGAACTTCCAAGAAATATGAGATAACATGAAAAGAGCAAATTTAAGATTTATGTGAATACATGAAGATATGGAGATATAAACCAAAGGAATGCACAATCTTTTCAAAGACATAATATCAGAAAATTTCCCAAATCTAAAGAATGAAACGGAAAATTATAAGAGGCTTATAGGACCCCAAATTACAGCAGACCCATACCAAGGCACATTATAAGGAGAATGACTAACATACAGAATAAGAAAAGAATTTTAAAGGCTTTGAGAGAAAAAAATCAAATTACATACAGGAGGAAACCAATTCGAATTTCAGCTAATTTCTTAAACCAGACTCTCAATGCGAGGAAGTTCTAGAACAACATATATCAAGCTCTAAAAGAAAATGAATGCCAACCAAGAATCTTTTGTTGTTGTTATTGTTGTTGTTTTGTTTTGTTTCTAGTTGTAGTTGGACATAATCCCTTTATTTATTTATTTTTTTATTTATTTATTTTTATGTGGTGCTGAGAATCGAACCCAGCACCCCGAACTTGTTAGGTGAGTGGTCTAACACTAAGCCACAACCCCAGCCCCCAAACAAGAATCTTAATCCAGCAAAATCAAGCTTCAGATTTGAAGATGAAATAAAAACCTTCTATGATAAACAAAAATTAAAAGAATTCACATCTTGAAAGCCTGCACTACAGAACATTCTCAGCAAAATATTTCACAAGGAGGAAATGAAAACCAGCAAAGACAGGAGCTACACTAAAGGAAAAGCCAATCAAAGGAGAAACTTAGTCAAGTTAAAAACCAAAAATAAACCGAAATGACCAGGAATACAAAGGATATCTCAATAATAACCCTGAATGTTAATGGCCTAAATGCATCAGTCAAAAGACATAGACTTGCAGATTGGATTAAAGAAAAAAAAATATGCTGTCTTTAAGAGACTCACCTCCTAGGAATAGACATCCACAGACTGAGGTAAAAGGTTGGGAAAAAACATATCTGGGAAAAAACATATCGCTCATAAACAAGCTGCATAAACAAGCAGGGGTTTTCATCCTCATATCAGACAACGTGGACTTCAAACTAAAGTTAGTCAGAAGGGATAAAGAAGGATATTTTATACTGCTTAATGGAATCATATGTCAACAAAACATAACAATTATAAATATTTATGCCCCAAACAACGGTGCATCAATGTACATCAAACAAACCCTTCTCAATTTCAAGAATTAAATAGGCCACGACACAATAATACTAGGTGACTTTAACACACCTCTTTCACCACTGGATAGATCTTCCAAACAAAAACTAAACAAAGAACCTATAAAACTAAATAATACAACCAATGATTTAGACTTAACAGACAATATATAGAGAGTATTTCATCCATCATTGAGTGAATCACCTTCTTCTCAGTAGAACATAAATCTTTCTCTAAAATACACTATATGTTATGCCACAAAGCAACTCTCAGCAAATACAAAAAAAAAATAGAGATACTATCCTGCATTCTATGAGATCATAATGGAATGAAACTAGAAATCAGATAAAATAAAAAATAGAAGCTACTCCAACACCCGGAAACTAAATAATATGCTATTGAAGGAACAATAGACAGCAGAAGACATCAGGGAGGAGATAAAAACATTTTTAGAGATAAATAAGAGAACACCGATAAAACATAAGAAAATCTCTGGGACACTATGAAGGTAGTGCTAAGAGAAAAGTTCATTGCATTGAGCTCATTCATTAAAAGAGTAAAAAGTCAACAAATAAATTACCTAACATTGTATCTAAAGCCCTAGAAAAAGAAGAACAAATCAACACTAAAAGTAGTAGAATACAGGAAATAATTAAAATCAGAGCTGAAATCAATGGAATTGAAACAAAAGAAACAATTGAAAAAAATTGACAAAACAAAAAATTGATTCTTTGAAAAAATAAATAAAATTGATAAACTCTAGCTACTCTAATAAAGAGAAGGATAGAGAAAACTCAAATTATTAAAATTTATGATGAAAAAGGAAATATCACAGTGACACTATTGAAACACAGAAGATAATTAGAAACTATTTTGAAAGTTTATACTCCAATAAAATAGAAAATATTGAAGACATCAACAAACTTTTAGAGACATATGCTCTCCACAAACTGAATCAGGAGAACACACATAATATAAATAGATCAATTTCAAGAAATGAAAAGCCTACCAACCAAGAAAAGTCCAGGACCAGATGGATTCTCAGCAGAGTTCTACAAGACCTTCAAAGAAGAATTAACATCAATACTCCTCAAATCATTCCATGAAATAGAAAAGGGAGGAACTCTTCCAAACTTGTTCTATGAGGCTAGTTATCACACTTATACCAAAACCAGAAAAAGACATATCAAGGAAAGAAAACTTCAGACCAATATCCCTGATGAGCATAGATGCAAAAATTCTCATTAAAATTCTGGCAAATCACATACAAAAACATATTAAAAAGATAGTGCACCACAATTAAGTGGAGTTTACCTCAAGGATGCAAGGTTGGTTCAACATATAGAAATCAATAAATATAATACTTAATATCAATAGATGTAAAGACAAGAATCATATGATTATCTCAATAGATGCAGAGAAAACATTTGACAAAATGTAGCACCTCTTCATGTTCAAAACACTAGAAAAACTAGGGATAGTAGGAACATACCTCAACATTGTGCTAAGCCCAAGGCCAACATCATTCTAAATGAAGAAAATTGAAAACATTCCCTCTAAAAACTGGAACAAGACAGGGATGCCCTCTTTCACCACTTCTATTTAACATAGTCCTTAAAAATCTAGCGAGAGCAATCAGACAGAAGAAAGAAATTAAAAGTATGCAAATAGCTAAAGAAGAACTCAAACTATCACTATTTGCTGATGACATGATTCTATATTTAGAAGATTCAAAAAAATTCCATCAAAAAACTTCTAAAACTAATAAATTCAGCAAAGTAGCAGGATATAAAATCAATACCCATAAATCAAATGTATTTCTATACACAAGTAATGAATCCACTGCAAGAGAAATTAGTAAAACTACTCCATTCACAATACCCTCAAAAACTAAATAAATAAAATACTTGGGAATCAATCTAACAAAAGAGGTGAAAGACCTCTACAATGAAAACTACAGGACACTAAAGAAAGAAATTGAAGAAGACCTTAGAAGATTGAAAGACTTCCCATGCTCTTGGATAGGCAGAATTAATATTGTCAAAGTGGGCTGGGGATGTGGCTCAAGCGGTAGCGCGCTCGCCTGGCATGTGTGTGGCCCGGGTTGGATTCTCAGCACCACAAAGATGTTATGTCTGCCGGAAACTAAAAAATAAATATTAAAAACAATAATAATAATATTGTCAAAGTGGCCATACTACCGAAACTGTTTTACAGATTTAATGCAAATCCTATTAAAATCCCAATTACATTCTTCATAGAAGTAGAAAAAAGTAGAAAAAGCAATCATGAAATTCATTTGGAAAAATAAGAGACCCAGAATAGCCAAGGCAATCTTTAGTAAGAAGAGTGAAGCAAGAGGCATCTCAGTACCAGAACTTAAATTACAATATAGAGCAATAGTAACAAAAATGGCATGGTATTGGCACAAAAATAGACATGTAGACAAATGGTACAAAATAGAAGACATTGAGACAAACTGATATAAATTGGGTTATCTTATTACTAGACAAAGGCACCAAAAACATACATTGGAGAAAAGATAGCCTATTCAACAAATAGTGCTGGGAAAACTGGAACTCTATATGCACCAAAATGAAATTAAACCTCTATCTCTCACCCTGCACAAAAACCAACTCAAAGTGGATCAAAGACTTAGGCACTAGGACAGAGACCCTGTGCCTAAAAGAAGAAAGAGAAGGCCCAAATCTTCATCATGTCAGCTTAGGACCTGACTTCCTTAATAAGACTCCTAAAGCAAAAGAAGAAAAAATAAGAATCAATAAATGGGATAGATTAAAACTAAAAAAGTTTCTTTTCAGCAAAGGAAACAATCAATAATGTGAATAGAAAGCCTACAGAATGGGAAAAACTCTTTACCACACATACCTCAGACAAAGCACTAATCCCCAAGATATATAAAGAACTCAAAAATATTAGCACCGAAAAACCAAATAACCCAATCAATAAATGGGCTAAGGAACTGAACAGACACTTCACAGAATAAGAAATACAATCAATCAACAAACATATGGATAAATGTTCATCATCTCTGGGGCTGGGGTTGTGGCTCAGTGGCACAGTGCTTGCCTAGCATGTGTGAGGCACTGGGTTCGATTCTCAGCATTGCACATAAATAAATAAAATAAAGGTCCATGGACTACTAAACAATATTTTTAAAAATGTTCATCATCTTTATCAATTAGATAAATGCAAATCAACACTACTCTAAGGTTTAACTCACTCCAATCAGAATGGCAATTATCAAGAAAACAAGCAATAATAAATGCTGGTGAGGATGTGCTCAGTGGTTGAGCACCTCTAGGTTCAATCAAGCAACAATAAATGTTGGTGAGGATGTGTATCAAAAGGTACACTCATACACTGCTGGTGGGACTGCAAATTTATGCAACCATTTTGAAAAGCAGAATGAAAATTCCTCAGAAAACTTGGAATGGAACTACCATTTGACCCAGCTATCCCACTCCTTGGTTTAAAATCAGCATACTACAGTGATGCAGCCATATTGATGTTTATAGCAGCTCAATTCACAATAGCTAAACTATGGAACCAACCTAGTTGTCCTTCAACATATGAATGGATAAAGAAAATGTGGTACTTATACATAATGGAATATTACTTAGCTTTAAAGAAAAATGAAATTATGGCATTTGCAATAAATGAATGGAACTAGAGAACCTCATGCTACATGAAATAAGCCAATCCCAAAAAGCCAAAGGCCAAATGTTTTCTCTGATAAGCAGATGCTGATCCATTGTGAGAGGGGGAGATAGAGAAGAATCAAGGAACTTTGCATTGTGCAGAGTGGAGTGAGGGGAAGGGTGGGGTTGTGGGGATGGGAAGAACAATAGAATGAGACAGACATTATTACCCTATATATGTATGATTACACTATTGGTGTGACTCTACACCATGCACAGACAGAGGAATGAGAAATTGTATTCCATTTGTGTACAATGTGTCAAAATGCATACTACTGTAATGTATAACCAATTAGAACAAATTTTAAAAAAATAAAAGGGAGAGCAGCAGAATAGAAGAAGGGATCAGGGGAGGGAGGAGATGGAAAGGGGAGGTACTGAGGAATGAAATTGTTCAAATTATACTGTTTTATTGTGTGCACATATAAATATATTAGAACAAATCCCACTGTTATGTTTAATTATAATGTGCCAATAGAAAGAAAAAATGATTATTATTATAATAAAATAATAATTCATGAGTTGAAATCTTAGAACACCACAAAGATTGAAAGTACAGTGATAACCAGGCATGGTGGTGCATTCCTATGATTACAGCAGCTTGGGAGACTAAGGTTCAGGGCCAGCCTTAGCAAGTGGGTGAAGCCTTAAGCAACTTAGTGAGACCATGTCTCAAATTAAAAATGTAAAAAGGGATGGGGATGTAACTCAGTTGCAAAAAAAGCACCAGTGTTCAATCCTTGGTACCAAAAAAAAAAAAGGTACAATGATAATTATTCATCATTTTTTATTCTAAGTATCACTTTGGCCATCTAACACAGCTTTTGATAAATTGTGTTTTTAGTTCAAGAAAGTAGGCAATTTCTGTTTCTACTTCTTCATTAACCTAAGAATTATTCATTTGCTTGTTTTTGTTATTTTGGTAGCAGAATTTAACCCAGAGCCACATCTCCACCCTTTATATTTTTTTGTTTTTAGACAGGGTCTTACTGAGTTGCTTGGGGCCTCATTGGGTTGCTGAACCTGGCTTTGGATTGGCCATCCCCTCCTCAGCCTCCTGAATTGCTGAGATTACAGGCATACTCCAATATTAGCATATTCCAATATTGGTGCTAAGAATTATTTAGAGTTAACATATTCCAAGATATGTTTAATTATTTTGATTATATTTTTATTTTTCATTTATCACACTGCATTTGGTGAACTTGTTTGAACAAGCTAAAATTTCCTTTATAAAATAGTACAACACAATTCATTAATATATAAAAGATCTTGTTTCTTATACTTGACCAAAAAACAATATGATTTGGGCTTAATTCATAATTATGATTAGTAACAAGATTAAACAAGTTTTAGATGCAAAAAAATATGTTGAATATGTTGGATTAAATATATCATTAAGATGAAAAAAAAAAGAGGTGAGGCCTAGTGGAAGATGATTAGATCTTTAAGAAGGATTAATGCTTTTTCTCTTGGGGGCGTGTTTTACTCTTGAAGGACGTTCCACAAAAGAGGGTTGTTACAAGGGAGCCAGGAACTTCCCCTGAATCCCTTTTGCTTCCTTGCTTGTATACATGCTCCTTCCATATATTGCCCATTCCCTCTCCACTTCTTTGCCATGTTAGGATGCAGCCAGGGGGCCCTTGCCTGGACCCTCTCACCATGAGAATATGGAGCCAAATAAATCTCTTTTCTTAATAAAGTACCCAGCCTTGGGTATTTTGTCATAGCAAAAGAAGATGGACTAAGACACCAAGGTACATGTATAACAGAAGTTCAGTCATATCAACTTTTTTCTATTATACAATAACATTTTATTACTTAGGTCTCTTCTCTATTACATCTCACCTTGGATTGGGGTGGGACATATTTGAATTGAGACTTGCTGCCATCAAATTAGTGCTAGTTAGATTGATGGGTGGCATTATCATACACCCTCCAGCATGTGGATCTTCTTTCATACCACTGGAGTTAGTGCTGGGATTGACGGGGTTTGATGGCTCATTGATTATAGGTTTTGTATCTTGACACATAGTGTGAGCATTTTCAGTTGCATCCTGTTGACCATGTCCACTTTCAAACTCCATCTTTTTCAGTTCTGCAATATCTCCTTTTCCTCCTTTAACTTTAATAACTCTGACCTTGATTTCCTTGGGCTTTTTCTCTTTTTCTACTTCCTGAAATATACACATCCAAAATATGAGTCATGAGAATTTTTTTTCCATTAGAACGATAATTATAAATCAATTATGTTGGCTGAAATGAAAAGCAAAGTTCTTACCTTTCCCAAAACTGAAGTACTTAGGAACATATTGCCATAAATTGCTTTTCTTTCATCTTTCACAAGTTCGTTTTCTTTAGAATGCTCTTTTGGTTTTATGAATGAATTGACTTTTGCTTCTTGTAATAATTTAGCTCTCAGCTCTGGCAAGAATCTGATAAAACAAGCAATACCAACAATAATCGTTCTAAAGTTTATGTTGATATTTTATCTTTCAGTAATCATTTAGCCAATTATTTCACATTTTAAGTATAGCATAAAAAACGCTACATGATTAAAATGGGTGCTAAGAACTGCTTTGGGAGGCTAACGCAGGAGGATCATGAGTTTAAAGCCAGCCTCAGCAACTTAACGAGGCCTTTATCAACTTAACGAGACCTTGTCTCTAAATAAAATATTTTATTTAAAAAGGGCAGGGGACTAGGGTTGTAGCTCAGTGATAGAGTATTTGCCTAGCAGGTTGGGAGGCACTGGGTTCGATTCTTAGCACCACATAAAAATAAATAAATAAAATAAAGGTATTGTGTCTATCTATAACTGAAAAATAAATAAATAAATAAATAAATAAAGGGCTTGGGATGTGACTCAGTGATTGAGCACCCCTGGGTTCAATCCCTGGTACCAAAAAAAAAGCACTCAAAGAGATGGCTTAATATTCACCTCTGAAATCTGCTCCCTGGGGGATGGGGATGTGGCTCATTGGTAGGATACTTACTTAGCATGTGTGAGGCCCTAGGTTCAATCTCGAGCCAACATAAAAAATAAAAATTTAAAACTTTTGCTAGCCAGGCATTGTGACACATGCCTATAATCCCAGCTACTCCAGAGGTTGAGACAGGAAAATCACAAATTCAACGCCAGCCTGGGTAATATAGCGAGACCCTGTCTCAAAAAAACAAAAATGACTGGGAATATAACTGAGTGAAAGAGTGCCCCTGGGTTCAATCCCCAGCATTAAAAATATATACATATGCACATACACACACACACACACACACACACACACACACACATAATTTCTTTGCTATTGGAATCTACTATGTAAAATTTTTACCAAACAGGTGATTTAGATTCCTTTTGTAATACAAACTCTATTCAATAAATTAAATTTTATTAATAAAATTTTAAAATTAATTTTTCATTTATCAAAAGTAAAGTTTTGATAAATATCTATTCTTTTCAAGGTCAATTCAGGCCACTTTGTGGTTTTTGTGGTTCCTTAAAGTAACAGGACTTAAAAGATGAACTACCTAGTTTCTGAAATATTACTCTGGAGAAATATTTTCAGTACAAAGTTACATAATACATCAAAAATGAAGAACGATTGTTTTGATTTTAGTTTGGCTTTCTTTCTTTTGAGAAGTTATTTATTTTTTAATGGAAAATTTATTTCTATGGTTCAAAATTCCAAAATCGATATTCCAAAAGCCACTGCTGCCATTGGTTTTGGAAAGTTTTGAAATACTAGTCCATAATGAATTGTTCCCTAGTCCAGTCCACTCTTGTCAGCTGGGCGTTGCACATGTCTAATTACAGGCAATGTGAGGAGATGTAAAAAATCTCCTATTGGGGCTGGGGTTGTGGCTCAGTGGTAGAGTGCTCACCTTGCATGCATGAGGCACTGGGTTCTATTCTTAGCACCACATAAATGTAAAAATAAAATATTATGTCCACCTAAAACTAAAATATCCTGTATGTGCATATCTCCAGTGTGTGCCAGGTGCAGTTCAATCCCCAGTACCAAAAAGAAAAAGAAAGAAAAAAATCTCCAGTATGATTAGTTTGACTAAATTAGAAAATGTCACACTTCTGTTAAAATTCCTTGCACAGATGGGCGCAGTGGCGCATGCCTGTAAGCCCAGTGGCTTGAGAGGCTGAAGCAGGAGGATCACCAGTTCAAAGCCAGCCTCAGCAACTTAATGAGACTCTAAGCAATTCAGTGAGACCTTGTCTCTAAATCAAATATTAAAAAGGGTTAGGGATGTGCTTAGTAGTTAAGCACCCCTGGGGGTTCAATCTCTGGTACTTAAAAAACAAAGCAATAAAACCTCCCTTGCACTGAAGAAGGTCCACAAAGGAAAGAGGCGTCGTATCAAAGGAAAAAGTCTTACCCAAACATTTTCTGAGAGTTCCATAATTTGAACTCAAGTTGCTATCACCCTGTAATAGTAAAATCCTAATAGCTAAACACCCAGGAGATATCAACTTAATCTATATGGAATTTATATGAAGCAACTTTCTTATGTAATGATTGGTACTTTTTACCAATGGCATGTTCATTAATAAATCTTCTTATTTTTTTGTTTTAGAGTAAAATTCTTGAAGTTCTAATTACTCTCAAGGATTCTCTTTTCTTTGCCTTTTTTCTGTTTAGTAGCAGTTCTCAGACTTTTTCATCCCTGACCTTAACTCCATCACATTTAAATTGCTGTCCACATTTCTGAATTCATGTCCACAGGCAAACTGAGTAATTCTGCAATTAATAAGAAACCTTTCTTGTTTCTTTCAAAGCCCAAAGACAAAATAATGATTTTTAGAAATAAGGCTGAAGAATGAATCTTAATTGTCCATGTAAGACACAGAAGGTCTAAAGAATTATGGTCCCTATCTTCAGGGAACTTCAAATTTAGTGGGTAGGATCAGAAAGCAAGTCTCACAGCAGAGAATAAGAAAATAAAAAATAATTTGGGAAGTGCTAATTATAGTACAAAGATCAAAGATGCTATCAAAAGAGGAATAACCAATTATTTTATGAGTGAGAGGCCCAAATGGGAGCTAAAAGGTATTGATTGTCTATTTAATGTTATTTCTGCTCTCTGATGACTCTGAAATTGTAGAATGGAAAACATATCACACTGCCTAGAATATTGTAAATGTGTTATGATGTCAGCTTTCATTAATTTTATTTAAATTTTCATCCATGATACCTGTAAGTCTATCATATAGCCTGTACCTGCAACAATAACTCATTACGCTTTTGTTATTTCATAACATTAAACTATCCAGCAATTCTCCTGCTAGTAAAATTTCCTAAAGTATCCAAAACATTATTATCCAAAGTACAGGTATGAAGTCATGAACTGGTGTGAATATACTGTGTATACAACCAGAGATATGAAAAATTGTGCTCTATAGTGTAATAAGAATTGTAATGCATTCCGCTGTCATGTATAAATTTTTAAAAAAAAACTTAAAAATACTTAAAAGACCACATTCACTCAAATGTTTACTTTTCAATAAATCCATCTCTAGTAAAATACTCATGATGCAAAAGATCAGTAGAGGATGTCCTCTCAGCAGGATCAATTTGTAAACAAGCCTAGAAAATAAAAAATATTTTGATAATCAGTGAGTTCTAACAGGGCAAAAATTAAATTTATTTGACAAATGATTCTTAGAAATAGTCAATTACCCAGAGATGAGAGAGAAAGATGAAATTAAAGCTCAGGAATTTCTGACAGTATGTTCTGATCATTTATTTCCCTAAGAAATTTTTACTTGCAAAGCATTATTACAGGTTAAATATTCAATGATTCTAGCCAAAGCAAAGCTCAGTGTGCTTCTGTGATGAACAGAAATTATTTAGCTCATTTTGGTCCTCTTGTCAGCCCTGTATGGTAGAAAGTTCATGGGAAATCATTTGCATTTGACAGATCTGGAAACATGATTAGTAATATGCTAAACTGGATAATTTTTTCTGTATATATGATACAGGGGATCAAACCCAGAGATTCACATGTGCTAGGCAAGTGCTCTACCACTAAGCTATATCTCCAGCCCTAAAGTAATATTTTAAAATAGTATTATAATTTATGCAAATTTCTCAGATATACATTATTAATCTTAACATACATGAACTATATCTGCCAGCAATCCATTAAGCTTTGGATATTTTTTCCTTGCGTTTTCGGGGTGTTGAACTTGAGGAAGGACTACCCCAGCAAAAATAGGACTCCTAGTAAAGATATTCTGCAAGTGAGGTGTCAAACTGCCTGAAAAGAGAAATACATACTTATAAGAAAACATAGAAATTATCTACAATCAAAATAATCAAATTGCCATGTGATCTCCACTAAATTACTAAAAACCCAGACAAGAAAGAGTAACAGTTTTTTAAATTTTTCAAAGTTGAACAAGAAACTATCTGAATGTCATAAAAAATTGAGGTTTCGCTAGTAAACTGTTAATAACACACAGGTAGCATAATATGGCACATCAGGTTTGTTTTCTTTTCCCAAACCTGTAAGACATGTACTATTACCCCAAAAAGCATTTTTAAACTTTTACATATTTCCTTATTGGTATCTAAATAGTTGAACTACAATTTCATCAGCAAAACAGATTACAGCCTTACTCAAAACAGCTAAAACATTAAAATTATTTTAAAATCAAACTATTACATAAGATGAAACAAGACTACAGACTAGTAGTAGAGTGGAAAGAACTATAAATAAGAGTGGAGAGAACTAAGTCTAGCATCCTTTTTGCTATAACTAGTTCTGTGACTGAGCAAATCTCTTTGTTTTTTATGGCTGAATTTATCTGTAAAATTACGGGATTAATCTAATTTTCTCTAAGATTCCTTCTAACATTAATCTCCTAACCAGAACTTTAAAGACACAAAAGAAGTTGATGTTTTAAGGCTCTGAACAGTATCTTAAGTCAATATTTATCTAGATTTCATTGTTTTCATAATTGTTCCCAATTCCTTCCTCATAATCCTGTAAAATTATGTTTATGTATATCTTTCCTACCACACAAAGCGCTCCTTGAGCTCTTCATTCAGAAATATTAAAAACAAATTGTTGAAATACCCTGTGCAAGGCTAATCACCAGAATATTTGAGCAATTAAAGCAGATCATCAAATAGTTAAAACTCTCATCAAATATATTTCTTTAATTTTTGTTTGTCATCAAATATATTCTTTTTCTGAGTGTTGTACTAGGGATGGAATCCAGGGCCTCATGTATGATAGACAAGTGTTCTAACACTGAGCTATGCCCCCAGCCCTCATCAAATATATTCTTTTTATATCTTTATTTTTATTTATTTTTATGTGGTGCTAAGGATTGAACCCAGTGCCTCACACATGCCAGGCAAGTGCTCTACCACTGAGCCACCACCCCTGCCCTCAAATATATTCTTGAATAAGTTATTTTAACTACCCTGAGGTTTTTTGTTTTGTTTTAGTTTGGTTTGGTTGAAGAGAATGGTTTCTAAATAAATAATTGGTGTTTCTATTTCCAAAAGCTTTAAAAAAATTTGACTCAATTCTATTGTTCAAAAGATCTTATTTTAAAAGTACAAATATTTGTAGAAGGCAAAAATTAACAACAACTTTTAGACAGTCTGAAATACATTCCTTTTGTACTGTTTTTCTTAGCACCAACCATCAATATATGGCTTAGCTATCTGCATCCTGGAAAAGAAAATATTATTTGTAAAAACAGAAAATTTTCTACCTTCTCTATCAGCCCCAGGCATCCATCTGCCATCATTTATCCAAACAATATGCTTCTCTGTTTTTAGGCAGAAAAAACTAACTTTGAAAATCAAACAGAATTTATCTGGTAATATTTATTTAGGCATGTAATAGAATATTTCATTAATACCTACCTACTTTTAAAACAATTTTATGAAGTAAATCTAAGTCAGAACTGCTAGGAAGATAGGGATTTCCAGTGGCCATCTCAATGATCATACAGCCCAAAGCCCAGATATCCACTGGCCTGAAACAAACCCAAGTAAATTACTTTTTCATCAAGATTATCTATTTTAAAAATACTTTTAAAATAATATCAAGGCCAAAGAAACAAGAATGTTAAGTAGTATCATTAAAATTTTCACTGTAGCATCATATGCTAACTTTAAACATTAAATATTATCGCATTTTATTAATAACATTAAATAACTTGTATTTAAGTTGCACAAGAAACCCTGAAATAATCTAGATAAAAAGTAACTAATTCTAAAATTTTTTCATATACTTATATAAGCATATTATCATAAGCGGTTTATGAATTAGATTTGAATACTAAAGTCTCATGTTTTAAAAGTAAAAATTAAAAGTCTCAAATATTTTACCCTTATTATTTTATTTATCTTAGCCCATTGTGAGTCAGCCATAATCCAAATTTTTTTCCACATGATGCTTTTAAAAAGATTGTTCTTATTCATAGGACTTGTAAATAAATAAAAGATACTCAATCTCACATTTAGAAGAAATATAAATAACCACTATGAGATTTATTTTTTATTGATCCAAATGACAAGGATTATAATAACTGATATGTATTATATTTGTGAAGCTATGGGAAATGAATATTTCCTTGTACTAGTCCAGGAGAGAAAACTTATACAACTTCTTTGGAAGGAAATTAACAAAAGATAACAAATTTTAAATTGTATATACTTTTGATTACATGACTTTATTTTGAGACATTTATTCTAAGATATGTTCATCAGGGTAAATTACATGAAAATTTCACTGCAGTATTTTTTGTGGTAGAAAAGAGATTGGAAGCAGCCTAAATATTCATCAATAAGGGAATGACTAAGTAAATTTTTGCAAAACCACATAATGAAATAATATTCCTCTCTTTAAAATGATGAAGTAGGTCTATCCATACTTGCCCAAATGGAATTATCTCCAAATTAAACTGGCAGGCACAAAAAAAAGCAAAATTCATGAAAGAAATCAAAGAAGATCAAATAAATGAAGATATATTCCAGGTTCATGGATGGGCAGACAATCTTACCAACATGTTATTTATTCCAAACTTTATATAAATATTCAATGCAACCTGAATAAAAATCTAGCAAATTAAATAATTAAACCAGTACTATGGTACACACCTGTAATCCCAGCTACTCCAGAGGCTAAGGCAGGAGAATTGTAAGTTCAAGGTCAGCCTCAATAATTTAGTGAGACCCTCTGGAAATTAGTGAGACCCTGTCTCAAAATAAAAAATAAAAACAGCCAGGGGTATAGCTCCCTGGTAGAGCACTCCTGGATCGATTCCCAGTTTTACACACCAATATAAAAAGACAATTATGTGGGGCCAGGGTTGTAGCTCAGTGGTACAACTGAGCGTTTGCCGGGCACGTGTGAGGCAATAGGTTCAATTCTCAGCACTGCATGTAAATAAATAAAATAAAGTTTCATCAATAACTAAAAAAAAAATTCAATAAAAAAGATAATTATGTGAGGTGATACATATGTTAATTAGCTAAATTTAGTTGTTCCACGATGTATATGTACATCATGTTATTGTCTATGATAAATACATATAATTTAATCTATCAATTTTAAAAAAATAATCTGTAGATTTTAACAAATTAATTGTAAAGTTTGTATGGAAAGGAAATAGACTCACCAGAACATTTTAATACAATGTTGAGAGAAAAGAATAAAGTCAGAGTATCAACTCTGCTGGACTTTAAGATATACTGTAAGGCCATCATATACTGTAAGGCCATCATACTGGTAAAACATACCAGTTTGTGGTATTGGTTAAAAAAAAAGACAAAGGTAACAGAATACAGAGCCCAGATATAGAACTCGCACAGAAATATAGTCAACTGGTTTTGGTTTTACTTGGTTGAGTTTTTTGTTTGTTTTTTGAGTTGCTGGAGATCAAACCCAGGGCCTTACATGTGCTAAACTACACTCCCAGCCCCTCAATTAGTCTTTGACAAGTAGTGCAAGACATCCATATGAAAAGAAGAAAACAATTTTGACTAAGATCTTGAAATTTTCCCCCAAATTAATCAAAATGGATGATACACAAATGTAAAAGGCAAAACTATAAAACTTCTAGACAAACACATAGGGAAAAAATCTTGGCGACCTTGGATTTGGCGATAAGTTTTTAGATATAAAGCATAGTTCACACAGTAAAACCACTGATAAATGGACTTCATTAAAATTAAAACTTCTATTCTGTGAAAAATACTGTTAAGATAATGAAAAGACAAGCCATAGGTTGGGATAAAATATTCACAAAATTTCTGATTAAGGATTTGTATACAAAATATACCAACAAAACTCTTAAAACTCAACAATAAGAAAATAAACCAATTTTACAATTGGCAAAAGATATAAACACATACCTCACCAAAGAGGACATACAGATAGCAAATGAGCATATTACAAGTTGCTCAACAGTATATACCATCAAGAAATTGAAAATTAAAACAACAGGGGCTGGGGTTATAGCTTAGTGGTTGAGCTCTTGCCTAGCATGTGTGAGGAACTGGATTCAATCCTCAGCATCATATAAAAATAAAAAATAAGGGGCTGGGGTTGTGGCTCAGTGGTAGAGCGCTTGCCTAGCACTTGCAAGGCCCTGGGTTTGATCCTCAGCACTACATAAAAATAAATAAATAAAGATATCGTGTCCAACTAAAAAATAAATATTTTTTTAAAAAATAAATAAAATAAAGGTATTGTCCTTCCACAATTAAAAACCAAAAATTAAGAAAACAGCTGGACACAGTAGTACCTACCCGTAATCCTAGTGATGCAAGAGGCTAAGGTAAGGGGATCACCAAGTTTAAGGCCAGCCTGGGCAATTTAGTGAGATTCTGTCTCAAAAAGTGAAAACGATTAAAGATGTGGTGTAAAACACCTCTGGTTTCAATCCCCAGTAGCTAAATAAATAAATAAAACAATGTGATATCACTATATACCTATTAGAATGGCTAAAATCTAAAATACTGACACCTCCAACTGCTGATGAGGATGTGGACCAACAAATTCTCATTCATTGTTGGCAGGAATGCAAAATTATACAGCCTCTTTGAAGGACAGTTTGGCAACTCCTTACAAAGCTAAATATAGTCTTAGCACACAATCTAGCAATTGTACTCCTTGGTAGTTAACCAGCAAGTAAAAAGTTCAGATTCACATAACAACCTGGACATGGATATTTATAGCAACTTGTTTCATAATTGCACAGACTTGATAGGAATTGAAGTGTCCTTCAATAAGTTAATGGATAAATTGTGGTACATGTATGCAATGAATATTATTTAGCAGCAAAAAAAAAAAAGAGAGAGAGAGAAAAATGAGCTATTAAGCCACCAAAAAAAAAAAATCATAGAACATTATACATGTTGCCAAGTCAATGAAGCTTATCTAAAAACTCTACGTCCTGTATAATTCCAACTATATGGCATTCTGGAAAAAGCTAAAGTAAAATGATGATAAAAAGACCAGTGGTTGCTAGTTAAAGGAGAAGGAGAAAATAATAAAAAGGTAGAGGTACAAACGGGGTGCCAGGGTGCCTGCTTGTAATCCCAACAATTTGGAAGCCTCAGAAATTCTTCTGCCTCAGGCTTCCAAATTGTTGGGATTACAGGCAGGTACCCTGGCACCCCGTTTAAATCCTAATGTAAACTATGGGATTTAGGATAGTAAAATTCTATCTCAAAATAAAAAAACATAATAAAAGCTAGGTGTGGTGGTCCAAGTCTGTGATCCCAGAGACTCAGAAGAAGGCCGAGGCATTAGGACCGCAAGTTCAAGCCAGTCTCAGCAACTAAGCAAGGACCAGACAATTTAGCAAGACCCTGACTTAAAATATACAAATAATAAAAAGGGCTGGGGATATGGCTCAGTAAAATACTCAGTTAAATACCCCTGAGTTAAGTCCCTAATACAAAAAAAGAAAGAAAAAGAAAACATAATATAAAGGGCTGTGGGTACAGTTCATTGGTAAAGTGCCTGTGAGTTCAGTCCCAGTACCAATAAGAAAAGGAAAAAAAAAAGGTAAAATAAAACTATTCTCTATGATCCTGAAGTTATGGACAGGATATTATATATTTATCAAAACCCAGAAAGTTCAACACAGAAAGTTAAATCCTAATGTAAACTATGGGATTTAGTTGAGAATAATGTATCAGTATTGGCCCATTAATTGTAACAAATATACCATATAATACAAGATGTTAATAACATGGAAATGTAACCAGGTGCAGTGGAGCACACCTACAATCTCTGCAACTTTGAAAGCTGAGGCCAGAACATCACAAGTTCAAGGATAGCCTCAGCAACTTAGAGAGACCCTATCTCAAAATTAAAAAAAAAAAAAAATTATAGGGTTGGGAGTGTACTTCAATGATTAAAAGCCCTCTGGGTTCAATCCCTAGTACCAAAAGAAAATAATGATGATGTTGTTATTGGTGATGATGATGATGATAATAATAATAATAATAATATTGATGAGGAGGAGAAACAGAAAAAGGAAATGTTGTAGTAGTGAGGTATGAGGTGGAGTGGGTATATGATACCTCTGCATTTTCTGTTAAACTTTTCTACAAACCTAAAACTGCTCTAATTAATTTTAATGAGACACACACAACACTGGGAAGACAGCATGCCCACTGGCATCTGAAGGGTTCCCAAAGGGAACCTGAGAGGACATGGGGCCCTCTAGTTTAGGAATTTTATTATGGGGTTCAGCTCCAGAAAGCTAGATCCAGTTTTGAGGTTGTTATCTACAAGGCTTAAGGTCTATTATAAATGTTTGTTTTGTAGAAACTGGAACTGATCATTTATAGGCTCCAACTCATCATGAGAAGTGGAAGGTATATGCTAGGGTACAAACAGACTCTGAAGATTATCAGACAAGGCAAAGCAAAATTGGTCATTGTGTTGTCAGTTTTCTATTGCTGTGACAAAATATCTGAGATAAACAACTTTAAAAGAGGCTAAAGATTAATCTGG